GTATCACTGCGTGCGTCATCTCTGTGGCCAAGTTTCAAAATCTTTTCTCTGTCCACACCTCACCGGACTTCTGGGTCCACTGCCTACTCTGACTTCCTCCTTCAAGTAGGCAATGGAACAATTACATCTGTTCCTTTTGGGGAAGGCCGTGACTCTGTTGCCCTGATCCCACTGTCCGGTGTGAAATACGTGACATCCCTTCCCGACTTGATTGACTTTGTGTTTCCTGCTTGTGACCTACACCACTCAGACAGAATTGCTGGCAGGTCTATTCTTTCGACCATGAACGCCAATGTCCAGCAGATCAACAACACCGTCCTCAACCTGATTGACGGCGTCGTTCATGAGTTGAGGAGTGCTGATTCTGTGGACAAGGAGAACGACGATGGTATGGATGTAGACGTTCACTTGTTGAACCAAGCTACTGGCAAGGGTGTACCAGACCATGTCCTGCGACTCAAGATTGGCTCCGTGTGCCTCGTCATGAGAAACTTGAACATTGACAGCGGACTCGTAAACGGCACTAAAGTGATCGTGACTGCAATAAGACCTCGTCTGATCACAGTGCGACTCCCTGGACAACAGGATCCGATTTGTATTCCCCGGATTCAATTCGTTTTCCCGTTCGTCGAGGGGTCACCGCTTCGTGTCCGCCGTCTTCAGTTTCCTCTCATGCTGGCATATTCCATGACTGGCCACAAAAGCCAGGGCCAGACGATTGATCGCGTTGGAGTCGATCTTCGCAGTGACTGTTTCACTCATGGTCAGTTGTACGTCCTGCTCAGTAGAGTCAGGCATCCAGACCATATAGTCGTCCTTGTCCGTCCCGACCGTGTCCAAGGGGGAATCGCATACGCGAAAAATATCGTGTATGACGATCTCCTCCTCTAACCCTGACTTGACTTTAGCTGTAGGTTTTTGTATATATTTCCTTTAAGTTTTTTCTTTAGAAATAAGTCGTTTTTTGTGTGTTTTTAGTATTCTAGTTTGGCAGTACTATAGGGGGCCTGCCTTATCAAAAGTCCCCGTTGTTGTATATATTTTTTTTCTTCTTTTTATTAGTTAGTTAAGTTGTTGTTCATATTTCTTTAGGTAGTTAGTAAAGTTTGTAAATAATTGTAAATATGGTTCCGACGTTTCCTGGCCTCCTCGTGGCGGAACTGGATATGCCATAAAGTTTATGGCTAACCGACAGGGAAACAAACATTACTTGATCTATTTTCATAAATATATACATGAATATCTACTATAATCTATTTTATTAATATAACACTTTACTATTATCAACTTATTCACTTATTAATCTACTTATCTTATACAAAACTTAGCTTGTACATTTGTTAACGATTGTAAATATGGTTCCGACGTTTCCTGGCCTCCTCGTGGCGGAGCTGGATATGCCATACAGTCTATGGCTAACCGACAGGGAAACAAACATTACTTGATCTATTTTCATAAATATATACATGAATATTTACTATAATCTATTTACTTCATATAATACTTTACAATTATCAACTTATTAACTTTTCAATCTATTCAGATATATATATTGTGAAATAATTATTACTTCAATATCGATTTTCGCCATTGCAATGCCAATTATATTATCACTTCGTTTGACCAAATACTCAGTTGTAAACATACTTTACTAACATGTTCTCCTACCGCAACATTATAATTGATTTTTTTTATAAGGGGTTCTTTAAGTTTGAGATTGATATTAACTTGCCAGCCTCCTCAAATATATTCGTAAATTGTTTTGTTATAAAGCAATATTGACTGTTTCATTGACTGCTTTGTTATATTAACAGTTTACGGCTAACCGACAGGGAAACAAACATTACTTGATCTATTTTCATTAATAAATTTATAAATATTTACTAACATCTTTTTACTTAAAATACTATAACTGTTACTATAAATAACTGACACGGAAACAAACATTACTTGATCTATTTTCCTTAATAAATTTATAAATATTTACTAACATCTTTTTACTTGAAATAATATAACTGTTAATATAATAATTTGTAAATTAATAAAGTTCCTACGTTTCCTGGCCTCCCCGTGGCGGAACTGGATATGCCATACAGTTTGTGGCCAACTGAAAGGGAAACAAAAATAACTTCATCTATTTTCATAAACATATACATGAATACTTACGATGAACTATTTACTTAATATAATACTTTACTATTATCTACGTAACAATCTATTCCAATATTTTGTGAAATGGTTAGTACTTCAATATCGATTTTCGCTATTACATCCCCACAAAGAATTTAGAGATGCGAAGAGTGATTTTTAGACCACTTCTAGGTGTGCTACGGACTTGAAATTTGCCCGGCTTCTTGGCGATGGCCTCTCACCCCTTCCTAATCTACTAATGACGACTAACAGCTAGGGGGCCTGGGGGCGGAGCCCCCAGCGAGCCAAAGGCGAGTACTGATGTTATAATGTTCTTAAGCAATGGAATTGTTGGAGGGAAACTGTCAATGGCTAGAGATATTGACAAGGCAGTGATGTTGAGAGTTTTATGAGAAAAATATGAATAAGTCAAATACAAAATTAAGAATAAAGTAGTATCTCTTTCTTCTGAAGTTAATACTGTGACTGATGGCAATAGAAAGGTGACTATTAACCCCCTCACCCCTCACACTGTTTCACAGGTTATGCGTTCTAAAGCAGTCGGATGAAGAATTAAATCACTTCTTTACACATTGATTCTCACCATTACCCACGTCTCAATTGAATGAAAAATTAAATTATAGTTCACACGTCCAAACGTCTCAAGTTAGTCATACAAGTCAATCTTCAACTGATACCCTCACAGGACGAGTTCATGTCCAAAGGTACAAGGATCATCTAATCACAGACGCCATCGCCCTCAGTGTTCTCCAACCTGCTCCCGCGACAATAAAAATACAATAAATAGCGTTCTACACAGGCCTGTGTTCTATCCACGAGAACCATATTGTAACAATGTACGTGCGTGTTTATGTAGATAGATACGATAGATTTGTTTCCATTTTAACAGTTTTTATTTTATAAAACAATATAATGTTGAAATGAAATAAATTTGTTTATTTGTTATTATGGTTCTTTTATAAAATTTGGCCAAATTGAATAGCTTGAATCTTAAAATACAAACATTTATGGAAGATTTTATGAAACTTGAAGGGTCATATCTCTCAATGTGTTAGGCCTATAATCACCATTTTGGTCTTAAATTGTGAGTAACTTAATGTAGTTTTAAAGTAATTGAGTTTGTTTCAATGAAAAATAATGTGGAAGTTATGTTTTAGGGTTAACGTTAGCCAAACTTTAAAAATTTTCAAAATTTTATAATTTTAGCCGTTGTTTGCTGAGTCATATCTTGAAAACTATTAGGCCTGTAAAAACTATTTTGGTCTTAAACGATAGGTAATTTAATGTACTTTAAAAATGATTATGGTTGTTCTTTATGAAAAAGTGATGCTTCATGGTCAAAATCACACAAACGTAAAAATAGTGCGAAATTCCGCCGATTTTTAAGCTTTTTGGAGGTGATCCGGAAGGTCGCCGAGGTCGAAAATTTGGATTTAGCATCTCGGTACTATTACTAACAACATAAAAAAATGAAACCTACTACCCCATTTCATGCAAGGTAAAATGCGTTAGGTTACTGGATTAAACTATCAGTTGATGAAACTAAATTTCAGTGACCTTAGGGGTGGGAGATGATGTTAAAACGCGCAACCTTTCCTACACATGGGACAATACTTTTCAGTGACTTGAAAATGAGTTGGTCATGGATCAAAGATATTTTGTGTTATTTGAACTGGTTGCGCGCTTCGAAAGTACCCTCTCACTGATTCTGCATTATGAATTTAATCATTGCTGGCAGCAAGGGAGAGAACAAGGCTACTGATTAATTTAGTACCGTGTGATTTTGTTACATTGTCTCAACAAGTTTGATGGGAAACGGACGTTTTAAACTCCAAAACTACATCCTAATACCCCTGATTTCTCCCCGGCAACCCCTAACTAAAAGTAACTAACTCATATTCGTTAATTTGGCTACTTAATGATTTAATTTCCTTATATAGTAGACTCCCTCTAATCCGGACACCTTTTAACCAAACATCGGTTAAACCGGAATACACTCGACGGAAATGACATCTCTTTAACCGGACAATTTTTATCAGCACATCGGTTTAACCGGACTAGATCGGCAGAAAGTGGGCGGTACTGAAACAACCATTCTCGTGGGAAAGATTTGAGACCAGTGATCACGTGTCTAAATACAATGCTCTCCTAAATTTAAGTCAAATACGCATTTAAACAATCAGTTTTTACGAGTTTTTGGGGACGTCGGTTTAACCGGATAAACCATTATCCGGCCTGGCCTCGGTCCCGAGGAGACTTATTGAAGATACTTATTGAGACCCAATGATGTACCTACTTAATTTTAAGATGCCCTAAAGGCTGGCCGACAAACACTGCAGTGGGAGTGGATGAGAGTAGGTTAACGTTTTTGTCATATTCATTTCTGCAACGTTTGACGACTGACATTGGTTGTAACCAGAAGAGGGGGGATTTTGGAAGTACAGTACTTTTTGCTTGCATGCTGGGTACATCTATATGAAAAACGGTGACACGCACGGCGCATTTGAAAAAAATTACAAAGTTAATACTGCACTTCTTATATTAATTGTTATTTTTTATTAGCCTATTCACTGTCAGAAACAGAAAAAAAACTAGACATGAAAATTGCCATAGATTTTACTCTTGGTGCTACTTCTAATTGACATTTTACAATCTGATTCCTTAAGACATTTCAACCTAAGGCCACAGAAGTGCCTCACTTTTTATGGATGTATGAAGTAGTAATAATTTTTGTATTTTGTTAAGAAGCTGTTGAAAGAGTTACAGCTTACATTTCTAGAAAAGTGAAATTTGAGTACATCGATCACCGCCTTCTTCAACATAATTTGTTGGTTCAGTTTTACACTCACCTTTTCTTGGTTATTGTTGAGGTTGGTGACAAAAGGGGCTGCTTTAAGTAAACCAAAAGAGCAGCGACGCAAGAACCATTGTGATGCGAACATTGCCACAAACACTTCCTACTTCAGTTCACACTTTGCAATCACTCAGTCCTGATTATTACCAATGTTACTAACAGGAAAGCCCTTCCTTCCTCAATCTATTATTTTAGTTTTTGTATAAATAACGGTTTTACTTAACAAATAAGAGAGCCTAAAACTGTTCCGGATCAAAACTATATCTGAATTATGTATTTTGAGACAATTAATAAAATTAGATGGGATTAACAATGAATTATTTAATTAAGGAGTAAAATAAGAAATTTCTCATCGGAAACCCAACATTTTAGAATATGTATGGATGAGAAATGCCTATAAAAACTTAAACCTCTAACCAATTACAATACTGTAATCGCCTTCTTTTAAACCTAAGTCATGACTCTTAAACAATACGCCGAAATAAAAAAAAAATAAATACATATTTGTAGGGAAGAAATTAGGCTAATTAGTTGGGGAGACGTAACAAAAATGTAACACTTAACTAGACCCACAAATTATTTTTTAAACTTGACTTTATCAATTATCAATTATTGTTTACTTCATTGTAGTATGAATAGCCTCCGGATAGCGAAAAAAAAACCTAAAATGTTTAAATCAGATCAAAACTAGTTGTGAACACAACAATTGGATTGCCTGAATCAGGTATCTAAACCATTATTATTAATCAGTGTTTAGCCTAACAACAGATCCTACTAACCAATAAAAATATGTTGCAATGATTTAAGCAAGAAGAATTTCAGATTTTAATTCTCTTTGAAAATTGATTATCATTTTATAAGATTTAATTATAAGTAATAACTTAAATAGAATAATTTTAATTTTAATCTATATTTGTTAACCACAATCACAAAGTACAATATTCTCAAAGTATATTATTGTAACAAAACGATAGAAAGGAAGTGAGTACACTGTGAAGTGGTGATTGGAGGTTGCCATTGTGAGGTTGATATGGCAAGACTAAGACAACATGGTGCAGTAATTGAAAGTGAGATTGGATGAGTCACTACAGAATAGCAGCAGCAGCAGCACTGCAAGCCTACATTGCATATCCATCTTACATAGAGGAGCAGACAGTAGAGGTTTGGTGAAGTGTGACTATGTATATTTGTATATTGTTTATATATTTCAAATATTTGAACTAACCCTTAAAACTAATGTCAAGGTAAAAATGCTACATCATATAAAAAGTTGAATTATGTTGTCAAGAATAGTTGAAGGAAAATTGTGCCCTTTCTCAAACATACAAAACATATTTGATGCATAGAAACTTGTTTAACACGGAATATACACAGGATATGGTAAATTAAGAATATTTAAGAATAAAGCCTTCTATATTTTCATAAAAGGGATAGTGTCATTTCGCTCCCTTGGAATCTAACCCCCCTCTCAAACAAGTCACAGGCAGGTCTCGCAGATGGACTAGAAGACATAGATTTTGCCGATGACCTGTGCATTATGGGTTATAGAAGTAAAGATTTGGAAGATAAACTTAAAGACCTTGGTGGTGACGGAAATAAGGTTGGTTTAAAACATCTTAACCTAAATGGCAAGGTCGTTAAAAGAGTAGAAGATTTTGTCCATCTTAGAAACATCATTGAGATATTATGCTTCCAAGATGGACAAAATCTTCCATTGAGAGTTCAGTGGACGCTTTTGTTGTGGCTATATGTCCCCCCAGTATAAAAGGAAATAAGACAAGTAAGTCATATTGTTCAACTCAAGTGTTTGCGGTCGTGCGGTCGGAATGTAATGGCTCATGGCTGTGATATCAAAAATATAGTTTGTCCAGGGAAAGATCTCAGGGGATTGAATTCCAGGACAACATTATAAACACTATCGGCTGTTTCTTAATTATCTGTAGGTGTAGCCAAAGTGACTTTGTGATGATGATGACAATGGAGGTAGAGGTGGGATTCTGGCTCAGAACCAAGGTTGTAGTCAAACTTCTCACTTCCGACACACATCACACTCAAACAGTCTCTACTGTGACTATAGTTTTGTTATATAGCTGCTGTAGTTGTAGCCAGAGTGACTTTGTGATGATGATGACAATGGAGGTAGAGGTGGGATTCTGGCTCAGGACCAAGGTTGTAGTCTCACTTCTCACTTCCGACACACATCACACTCAAACAGTCTCTACTGTAACTAACTATAGTTTTGTTATATAGCTGCTGTAGTTGTAGCCAGAGTGACTTTGTGATGATGATGACAATGGAGGTAGAGGTGGGATTCTGGCTCAGGACCAAGGTTGAAGTCTCACTTCTCACTTCCGACACACATCACACTCACACAGTCTCTACTGTCTATCTATACCTAGTGATGACAGCATGGACTGCAGTGACCTTCATATGGTTGTACATAAATATATTTTAGACACTTCCACCTCCATTTTTGGTACAAATGTAAAAAAAGATTGTAAATATTGAAAAAAACTCTATAAAGGCTAATGAATATGTTACAGAGGGAGACAAGCCTCAACTTAAGTTGTAACATTATTTTAACTTGTGGATTAATAAAAAAAAAACTAAACTGCTATTAAAAATAAAAACTAAATAAACTAAACTAAATAAACTTAATAAACTGCTATTAAATTGGTGAGTATTGAAAAACTACAAAATTATGTTAAAAAAGAAAATGTGTTGTAAACTAAGTTAAAACATTTTCCCAGAAAAGATTTAAACAAAATAAATTCCTAGTTTTAAGAGAAGACATTTTTAGAACATTAAGTTGATCTTGTAATCATTTCTACCTATTCTAATATACTGTAATTTTGGTATACATTATGGGTTGTAAAACAAGTTATATATTATTTACTAGCAAGGCACTTTTACGAGCTAGACCTATATGCTTTTGGATGTTTTTCTCAAGGATTGATATTCTTTGAAACAATATCTATAATATTAAAAAATATTAAGTTTGCTTTTTGAGTCGCCTTGGCTCTTCTACTCAACCGATTTTCATTATTTTGGCCTTAAATTAAAAAAGGTGTGTAGATTTGACATCAAGCATCACCATTCATTTACCTGCTGTATTACTTGACCTAAAAAAATCAATTTGATTTTTAAAAACTTTTTATAATAAAAAAAGATGTATTAAAACCAGTTCTAACATTATCCTGTATGTTTTGGTCCAAGAACAAGAACCTTCAGTGAAGTACCAGCTCTCATTTGAGCTATCTATATATTACTTTGAAACTGTTTTTTCTTTGTGACAGCTATTTTGAGAGAACGGCTGGGCGTAGAAACTCGATAGAGGTGTCTAAAGAAAGGTCTGTAGATCTGTTGGTCTGTAGATGAGCCATCAAAAGACAAACATGGAGAATTCCCTCGGGGCTCTGCCCCAGTGGCCTTTAAATTCCCATCCCATGTTATTCTTATGGAGGAAAACGAGGTTTTTGTCACAGCTAATTTGAGAGAACGGCTAGGCGTAGAAACTTGGTAGGGGTGTCTAAAGAAAGTGATTGGTCTGTAGGTGAGCCCTCAAAATAGAAACGAGGTGAATTTCCTTGGGGCTTTGCCCCAGAGGCCTTTAAAGTTCACTCTGCAATTTTGTTTACATTTCGACCATATGGATAATTTTACATTAATTTTAATGAACCAGCTGTTAATATTAAAATTGTATTCAAAGGTCTACTGAAACTGTCAAAATTAAATGTGTACATTATTATTTATGACTAGCTGTGTACCCGTTCTACGCACGGGGATCTTATAATATTCAGTTGAAACCTTCTTATATAAAGAACAGCAGTTGGTTTGCATATTTTAAGATATGCTGGCCAAACTATTATACATAGCTTCATTTTATGTTGTTTTTTGTTGTTCCGGATCGGTATGACAATCAATAAAAGGTTAAATTACCTCTGTGTCTGCCGGTCGATCCTATAACGGTAGGCTTACTTTTATTTTTACTATCTGATCTCGTTTGCATGGCTCAATCACGTCCTGGTTGAAGTTCGTTCGCTACGCTCACTCACCTGTATGTTGGAGCTCGTTCGCTGCGCTCACTTTCCTTCAGGTTAGCTCGTTCGCTACGCTCACTTGCCTTCAGGTTAGCTCGTTCGCTACGCTCACTCGCCTCCAGGTTGCAAATTAGCTGTTGTCATAAATGTAAAAGAAATAATAGTGCTAGTGCTGCACCCTGTTGGTAATCCTTGTAACTTTAATGCTATTGAACATCACAGAACAGAACCAACTTGTTTAATTGAAACAGCTGTTAAGATTCAATAATTTCATTTCTCATAAGGTTAACATGGGCTTCCAGAAATTCCACGTCAAAAATCGACAAAAACTTGATTTTCAAGGGTTTACTGTTAAATATCTAACTGTCTCATATTCGATGAAATACTCTAAAACCATCTCATATATGTATAGTATTTGGAAAATAAGTTTCAGGCGGGACAGTGCTATAGTTATTGAGGAGTAGTTGTAATAAAGTGCGTATTTTAGCGTTACCAAGAGAATGACAGATAGACAGACAGACAGACAGACAGACAGACAGACAGAAATTGAGATAAGGTTTGATTCGGTTTCTCTGACCTATGAAATGTAAAAATAACCAAAAAGTTCATTATTCTAAGCAATGTACAGACAAAACTCTAATTTTATTTATATAGATTTTAAATAGATTCTCCACCGCATGGCAAGTTTTTCATAGTTTCAACAAAATGATGAATATATGATACGTTTTAAAGGTTTTGTTCAAAAATCTATGCTTTATTGCTCTTAGAAAATTTTAAATTATGAAATAAGTGTGACATATCAATTTCAAACATATAACTATTTCTTATCGGGTTAGCTTATATATTGTAAGGTTGGCACTTGCTTTTTTTCCTACTTTCAATCACCATTTATTTTTAAATTCACGAAAGAACACCTGAGATTCATTTATTGGTATACAAGTTTTTGATAATCGGGTTGAAAATTGTGTCATAGATGAGTACTTTGAGGATGAGAGCTGTGTTCAAGTTTTGGAATAGACTAACTACGGAGTCTATGGTTTTGGTAAAGTAGGTGAACTAATGTCAATTCAGGTATTTAAAAAAAATGTGTACACAGTTTTTACTTTGATGTACACATGTAGCTAGGTCGAACAACGCATCTAAACCTCACTACATACAAAACATTCGGAAACACAACAGTGTCATCACATCTCATCGCATTTTCATAATTTGTTACCAAGGCTGGACTAGGTTATGGATTTGGTTCCGCAAATGTTCAAGATTTGTGATAAAATTTTCTACAATTATGGTTCATTCCAATCCACGAAATACATGCACAGCTTTATGTGATCTATATGGCCAAGGCAAAACTACCCCATAAGTTAATGAATTATCAAGTAAGAACAGGATGATTAAATACATGGGTCGATGTGGCAAGAGAAGGAATTAAAATTGCTGACATCGAAGTAAGAATGTTACTGCTTTCTGGAGAATCAAATATTTTTATCAAACAAAAAAAAAACTTATTTAATATGCTGATAGAATTTTGTATTTTTATGACCAAAGATGAATATTACTTATAAATCCGGATACAATCTGAATGATTTTCCTAAAGCAGATGGAATTGGTGGTTAGTAATAAATATTGACTCTTTCCGTAACATGATAGACTAATTATATGAACTCATTCTCCCATATAGTGAAAGTGGCTTGGTATGAAACAAACTCATGAACAAACAATTATAAGACTCCTAAAAACCTTTTGGGCAACCTAAAGCCGGAAAAAAGGTAGGAAATATTGTGTTAAACGAATTCATCAATCACGTTTTTAGGGAACACAATCGTCATACTTATTATTGCTTATCTTCCCTTCATTTAACTAAGATTTTAAGACTTCACTCTATCCATCGCAGTTAGCTGAATTTACATAAAACCTCAAGATTAACCGTCGATTTCGAAGGGGTTCCACTAGTTGATTATTAAGATCGAACATACACTGCTGAATCACGAATCAACAATAACCATAATTAGTTTATGACTTATCTGCAATCAATGGTAACTCCATTTTTATTTTAGTTATGTCTTGGTCTTAAAATAGGTACCGGTAATACTAGAAAGAAAGGCTTTCATTTGAGATATTGATAGTTTGAATCAGTTAAGTTCAAGATACTGTATTACTCATTCAAAACAAATTTGTTATCACCCTAAATGTGATTATTAAGCCGGGTTTTACTGAACTAGCCCATTTTTGTTTGAATTTTTTTTATGTTAATGTGCCTGTGAGTAAAATTTAAAACCATTTTGATCTTTTAAGTCTGATTTTAGTTTTTAATTATGTACGAGTATGTCAAATGTATGACAACCAACTATACACCTATGTTAAATGTTGTAACATTCGACAAACCCACCTAGATGTAAATTATTTTAGTACCTATTTTATAATTCCCACGATAGATAAAGATAATATTATGACTTTATCATACTGTTATTTAATTTCAAAAAGACTACTACTAGTTAGGGTAACATAATGATTGCCAACATAATGATTACTAAACATAATAATTTAGCATAAATTATACACACAAGTTATTCAAGTATTTAATTTTAAGCCACCAATTCCTATGCCTATCTAATTTGCCACAAGTTTACAAAGAGAATGTTAATACAGTATGATCATCAGTTATTTATGACCCTGAATCTCATTACTCTGGAATTGAGCTTTGAAATAAATGCAAATCAGGGCAGGAACTGGTGTTAATTAGGTCACCCTCTCAACACATAAACATCAGTGACTGCATTGCCCTCTCTCGTGCCAACACTGAACCGCCAGCACTGTGCTTTGCTAACTCATATAATCAAGCCCTGCCATGTCATTTGATATCATGACTGAAGCGTTTGATTTTGGAAATAGGTAAGATATGATTTCCAATCAGGACGGACTTAAAATATACCTCCTATGAACTGTTTCAATAGCAAAATTGATTATAAACAATATTGGTAAAGTTAAGCAGCCACATTATTATTGCCATCACATATCTCTCCCTTTCTGTTTACAAAGGACAATGTGCTACACAGTGTTTATAATACAGCCGCCTTCTACCTCAAAGTAGTACAGTTTTTTTTTTTTCAAAGTATACTATTTAAAAATCAATTTTATAAAAATAAAAAAAACTATGTAGGCACATAAAAATTACATAACATCGACTTCTAATTCCTCCAATTATTTTGGATTGAAACTAACAAATAATGAAATCAGTTTCCACATTATAACATCCAAAAATTCACCTAACTAAAACCACAGAAAACATACTAGTAAAACTACTAAAACATACTACTAAAACGAAAAATTTATCATTTAACCATCATTTTTGGAAACTACAAGTTAAGCCCTCTACCTTTAAATAGCTTTCATGACAAATGCGCTTATTTAACAAGCATAGTACAAAATGTATTTATTGTATTTAAATCAAACCCCAATTAATACCACCTATAATAATAAAAAAAAAAAAAAACACACACACATTTTAAAGGTTTTGCAAGCCTAAAGATAATAAAAAAAACAATACTTTTTAGCCACTATATAACCAGAACTAGTATGGGAAATCACATTACGCCGAACACTTGGTAAGCCGATATAACCACACGCACAGTTAACAGCACGGCACGCACAATCAGACTGAGCTGAGACTGAGGGACGAGGGCACGACCAAGACCAAGGTGGACGACGACGAGACGGAGGAAGTGGAGTCTCAAGGTATGGATCGGAACTCTACCGGCAATTGATTAGCATTGCTGAAATACGACCTTGCAGCTCCAGCGACGTGCCAACACCCGACGCCGCCAACACTAGATCAATTATCAATACCGTAGTTGTAGTTAGTACTGTACGAGGGAATGTCTCACAAAGGACAATTCACAGCGTGCATTGTAACAAATCTGTATGATGAACAACTACGCGTAACGAACGCAAAAACTATGACGGGCGGCGTATGGTAGACCTGACTGTCTTGACAATGACAGGACGGGAAGATTATCAGTCAGTATTGGCGGCACGTAACGTGATTACTTCGATTGATATCGGATTGAAAACATTAATGAGAGTTAACACCTGAGAGTTTATAGGGCCACCGCAACACCGCAACACTACAACAGCACTAGAGCACTACAGTATCGAGCGGGTCCGGGACTTGTGCCTTATCACACCGTCAATGTCACCGTTATCTCTGTACTAGTGGTCTGCAGTTATTACACGAATGACAACACTAAACTTTGCGTGCTCTGCTAGATAAACCATGTTTACCAAGTTGTTTCCCTGCCGTTAGGGATCGATATAACACGTTCTGCTATTTGACGAGCTTATCTGTGTGCACAAAGAGCTTAGAAAATCCGACTTGTACCAATGACGCAGCTATTATTTACCGTAATAATCATAACAACCAAAACACTCCCGTATTTATGATGCGGAATGCGAATCTCCAACGCAAAACAAGTGTATAAAGTGCGGGACATCTGACATCTTGAATTAAAATTAAATGACTAAGACCAATTTATCTGCCTGGATCATCAGATAGTTTAAAGAACGAAAGGAACATGGGTCCAGAAGTAATATTCACAACAAATTAGTAAAGTATCTAACATGATTGATTTAGCGATATCCGTATTGCTAAATCGACAAAATATTAATCAAATCAGTGCACAGTAGCATACTAAGGCACATGGTACAACAATGATAGTTTAGGGTGTTTTTTACGCGGACACGTAAATAACGAATAATAGTAATAGTAGTGGATAACAGTGCAACGTAAAGTGTTTTCTAAATAGAAGCGACATTTAGCTCGACAGAAGGGTTGACGAGACTACACGTGGCAGTGACTGCAGGGTGTGACCTACTCTGCTCACTCTGCTACTCTACTGAGGCCAATCGATAACACGCACAGCACGCCTACGTCACCACTGTACTGTGCGAATTACGACCACGGTCCACCTTCACATCCTGGAAATGTGTTTACAAATTACTTCAGGCTAGTAGTAAAGGGTTGCGGCATTATCACATAAAATCCATTGTAATTGGCGCGATTTCGGGCTCCAAAGCCACGAGCTCTACTACTAAGAGCTGGTCTAGTAGTAAGCTCCCAGTATCACGACAATGAAAATTGTTTTTTTACAAAATGATGTTGAAACTTAATTTCCTTCCCTTGATTATTAAAAACAATTTTACTGTACACTTTAATGTACAGGACCAGACATACATCATGTTAATTACACTACCAGTCCCAGCGGCGCGTCACTGTAGTATACATTACACTGTACACCATTTCCACACTGACGTAGGTGTCTAGTGGAAGTATGTAGTGTAAAGGACCAGACATCCATAATGATAATTACACTACCAGTCCCAGCGGCGCGTCACTCTAGTCTACATTACACTGTACACCATTTCTACACTGACGTAGGTGTCTAGTGGTAGTATGTAGTGTAAAGGACCAGACATCCATAATGGTAATTACACTACCAGTCCCAGCGGCGCGTCACTCTAGTCTACATTACACTGTACACCATTTCTACACTGACGTAGGTGTCTAGTGGTAGTATGTAGTGTAAAGGGCCAGACATCCATCATGGTAATTACACTACCAGTCCCAGCGGCGCGTCACTCTAGTCTACATTACACTGTACACCATTTCCATACTGACGTAGGTGTCTAGTGGTAGTATGTAGTGTAAAGGACCAGACATCCATCATGATAATTACACTACCAGTCCCAGCGGCGCTTCACTGTAGTCTACATTACACTATACACCATTTCTACATTGACGTAGGTGTCTAGTGGTAGTATGTAGTGTAAAGGACCAGACATCCATCATGTTAATTACACTACCAGTCCCAGCGGCGCGTTACTGTAGTCTAAATTACATTCTACACCACCTCCTACACATTCAATACATACAGGGTAGTAAAAAAGTCCCAGGACAGTTACATATTTTTAAAAAATAATGCAGATAGAGCTACAATACTTGGTACAAAGTTAGAGGGCATAAAACTCTATTTTAACACATATTCAGTGATCCAATAACTCTTCAGGGGGACGGCCCACAGGGAGTCGGAAGAAAATCTTAAAAGGAAGCATAGGTCAATATGCACATCAAATTAAAGGTCTTTTTTAGTAGAATACAATGCCGCAAACCGCACTTCAAAAGGTTGATCCTGCGCAAAATGCAGATGTACAAAGATTTCTTGAATCCGCCATTTTGAATCTTTGAACGACTGCAATTTTTTACTCAGTCATTCTTTTGAGCTTGAAATTACGGCATCTAGACAGAAATATATTCTGTTTGACGAAATCTATTGTAATTTTGTAATTACTGAACGATGAATAAATTGTCTATTGTCTATTGTCTATTGTCATCGTAATCTACTAGTGAAGACCTTTAATTTGATGTGCATATCGACCTATGCTTACGTTATCAATTTTCTTCCGATTCTTAGGGCTGTGCCCCCTGAGGAGTAAGCGTATAATAGCAATGTAAATTAAATGAATCTTTGAACAACTGTCATTTTGCGCAGGATCAACCTTTTGATGTGCGGTTTACGGCGTTGTATTCTACTAAAAAAGACCTTTAATTTTATGTGCATATTGACCAATGCTTCCATTTAAGATTTTCTTCCGACTCCTTGTGGGCCGTCCCCCTGAAGAGTTATTGGATCACTGAATATGTGTTAAAATAGAGTTTTATGCCCTGTAACTTTGTACCAAGTATCGTAGCTCTATCTGCATTATTTTTTTAAATATTTAACTGTCCTGGGACTTTTTTTTACCACCCTGTAGAATATAGTGCAATACATACGATGGCTCGTGTCCTAATTGGTACATACTTCCATAACATCTATTTCGCCGGATAAGGGATACGATTCAACCTACATATAAATACATGAGGAAGAAAGCATAAAACGTGTATTGTCAAAACTGACTTGTTTTTATTATTACACAATAAATAACCAATAATTTAAATTCAACGACTCATTTAGGATTATCCCTCATTTTGTGTTCTAAAAGCAGTTATTTTATTGGCATTTCACTGTTTTCAGCTTAAGTTGCAAGTAATCCATAGCTACATAAACTTCAGAAAGTTAAATGACTGACGAAAGTCATTCCGTAAATAACTTAGAGACCTTGATAAACAAGTCAAGAGGATCAGATTAAAGAGTCCAGAATCCCTACCGAGGCCACAAACAGTATTTCACGGTTATTCGCTATCAATTGGCCGAGGGTGGCGGTAACTGTGTGGAATGTGAGAAGGTGGCTGACCGGTTATATTATACAGTACAGTATTGCGGCGACGACCTGTGTCTAGTGTCTGGCACGTGCAATAAATAAGTTGTGTTGAAACTATCAATCTGCAGATACCTTACAAAATAATTGAAGGTAGCAAATGAAGAAACTATTTTGACACTTTTGGAACTAATGTCGGTTCAAAATAATCAAATGATAACCATGGCAATGTTTACCCATGATGAGATGGTTAAATCCGAAATCTTTTGATTATACAGTCGGATTTTACTGGTGGTTCTTATTACGAGTAGTTTGTGGTTTCAGAGCAAAGTTACGAACAGTATGCTTTTAGTTCAAGCACCAGACCATGATAAACATAATACTGATTCAATGTTACAAAATACTTACCAATCTAATATACCCATTTTCTTTGAGCTGGTTGTATACGATTTTTGTGACTGTGAGCACAGAAAACATACTACCATACTACTGTTGTCACTTAGTTGTCACTTAGCACGCTGGTGGCGCTGCCTACGAATTGACAGGCAAAGCTGTCTCAAAACACTTAATGCTTTTTACCATGCGGTTGGCATTCTGGGTTATAGTACAGTAGTAGGTTTTCTGTGCTATGAGCCTGGCGGTGTGGGTGTTAGGGTATTGAGGCCAGCTCTCAGCAGTAGAAACGGCGTTACTGCATACGTCAGCGGTCAATTACGGATCACACCTTGAACCATTGCATTACTATTTATACTACAGTAGTAGCTAGGTTCTTGGGCAAATGTTTATTTATAATCTAATGTAGTTCACTCTTGCTCAATTAAATGTATTCAATTTTTAAGTTTTTTTATTAGTACCTAATTAAGTCTTATCATCTGCAATGGTCTACACCCCAATGTTAAACTAAGAACAATATCTAAAATAAAAAAAAAAACAATATTCAAACAATACTCCTTTACAAAATCAACGCATCACAGAATACTTCAGTGACCGGTGAAGAAATACAAATATTGTTAACTACACTGTAATTGAATCATGCTGAGGAGTAGTTTTGTAACTTATGACAACGCTAACTGTTTCACCGTCTCCAGACATATGAAATGTGTGTGCTACAAAATAAGGCTATTTTACTCCAAGTCAAAGGTAAATACGGCATATCGCAATATTTCCACAATACGAAGGGAAACATTGGATTTTAATTTGGTATATTACACCAGAATGGAGAACATTTGACAAAGCTATTGTCATCAGAGTGTAACTTGACTCATGGTGGAAGGTGGAAGGGGGAGAGGAATGTCCATATCTTAGCCATTAATCTCTGTATATAGGTCAGTCTGAGTCTGTTTTTGCTAATGTCTCCCAAAGTGTGAAACACTGTCGCCGACCGCTGGCTTCCCTTTACTGATAATGCTTTTTAGAAGTACAATACAAAAAATAACACTTCGGTTACTGACCAAACAAGCGTGCATGATTTCCTTTCACCAGGAACGTTACGGCAATAACTCATTATATTCAGAGACTTCCCTACAATGATACAACGAAGATTTGTTAGTACATTAAAAAAAATAGTACATGATTGTACAGATAATTCAAAATAATACGTCTTTAAACCGGTTTTTGA